GCAGGAATAAATGGAATATACATCAAGGTCAGCCACTCAGGTATCCTTGACATCTCCAGGGCACTCTTGCTAGTTGGACAGAAGTATAAGGGGGCTTCAAAAAGTTCACGGAAAAATGGACTTAATGTACAAGTCTATTTCAATGCGAAATATTTTGAAAACGATGCCTTTTTTTATAATGCACATTTTTCCATAAACATTTTGAAGACTACTTGTATACAAAAGAGCAGAGGTGAAACTATTTTTGTCTTCCAACGTCATCTCTGTCATTATTGGGACAGTCTTGGACTGTTCATTCGTGACTTGTCTTCTATGTATGTTCTGGGACAGCTGGGACGTTATCTGCTCTCGGCTCTGCCGTGTTGCCCTCGCGGAGGTTAGACTTGGCACAGAGGAGAAGCCTACTCACTCTGCTGAGCGAGTGACTCTTTGCTCTCTTCCCATTTTTACTTACATCAGTTGATGGTTCTCTTTTCGTTTTTCATCAGTAGATTTAAGCAAGGTCACTGTTCAGGGTTTTTTTTTTTAATTCAAAAATATACATTGTGTATGGGAGCCATTTCTGTCTTGCTTCCCCACACTTTGACTCTAAATTTCCCTGCCCTCTGGTTTCTCTGGCCCTGTTGTCAAAAGATATCAGGTAATAGGGATACTGTATGGCTGGGGGGGGAATGAGTTCTTGTTTATGGGACACGCCTTCCTGCTGCAGATGTTCTTCCAGACCTTCCCCGTCGGCAAGCCTGCCCTCTCCGGTAATAGCCACAGCTTCTGTACCTAAACCTGCTTCTTAGAGAAGATATAGCCTTCAATAATTGAATGTGAAATACACCTGATTTATTGCATGGACACAGCATCAAGAACTATTAACCCTGGCAGAATGCTATTTTAAGTAGCACTATCCAAATTAACAAGCCCCAGGTGAACACATCCTTAAAAAAAAAAAAAAAAAAAAAAAACTTGTTTTTAAGACTATCTCCCCGAAATGACAGTAAAATGTGTGAGTCACTTTCAGTAAGATTAAATTACTATTTCTTTCTAGAACAATCAACCACCTATAGCTTAGCCAGAGAATCATAACCAGTTTGTAATTGTAGGTTCTTGTAAATGTATGTCAGGGGTCTTGCACTTTCTCTTCCTGATGCTTTGACTTGTTGAGGCAAGATATGTAAATGTACAAGGATCTCTCTGAGTGCTCACAAGAAAGAGAAAATGTATGTGTGTGATACCCTCATGGCACAAATATCTGTATGTATATATGTATATGTATGTGTATGTCTATATATCTATATATAGAGAGAGAGACACACACAGAAGTCATCATTCAAGGACACACTAGAGGGCCCAGCAGACGGTGTAATGGTTATGTCAGCAGACTCCCATGTAGCTGACAGCAGTTCAAGTCCTGGACCAGCAGCTTAAAAATCATGCCAGGCAGATGTGAGTGCATGCCCAAAAGCCCAAAAGGAAAATAGAGGAGAAGGGATGGGGACATAGCCATTCTCCCCCCCACCCCCGGGGAGGGGTGATTTCTCACTTTCTGTCTCACACATGCGCCCTATAGCAAAAATGTCTCTAAAAAAGAAAAAGAACGTACTAGAAAGACATGCATCTAACTGTGCCAAAGAAGGATTCACTCCCTCAGCACTGTGATGAAGAAGCTCAGCGAGGTGATTTCACTGGTAAAGATCACAAGCCTGGGGAGAGATGCTGCATTGCACACTACTGTGCAAAACAGCTGCTTCTCTTTCTGAAGTAGTACATACTCGGTTTTTTAAACAATGCATTTTCATTCCAGGACACCTGACATGCTTCAGTTTTGTTTTTTATATTTCTCTGTTGCTTCTGAGTAAAGAAAACCTGTGTTATTGTGCAGATAATATTTTCTTTCTTTCTTTCTTCTTTTTTTTTTTTTTTTTTTTTTAAGAAATTGGAAAGCTGGACAGCCAGATAACTGGGGTCATGGGCATGGGCCAGGAGAAGACTGTGCCGGATTGATTTATGCTGGGCAATGGAACGATTTCCAGTGTGAAGACATCAATAACTTCATTTGTGAAAAGGACAGGGAGACAGGTAAGCATAAGCATCAGGACTGTCAGCGTACTCTGTGCAATTAGGGTCTAGTACTGGTTCTGTCACTCACCAGGTGGGCAGTTACTAGATACTACGACAACAGTATCTTTTTTTCTGTGTGTGTGTGTGTGTGTGTGTGTGTGTGTATTGTGGGGGGGTGGTTGTTGTGAAAATTTAAATAAGTTAATAAATGTGTCCAGTATACAGGAAGTACTCAGTAAAATCTTAAGACTAGCCAGCTCCATTCAATATCATTGTTTTAATGCCAGAAGACATGCAAGAGAGAGTGAGAAAGAGAGCAAGCAAACAAGAGAGAAAGAAAGCACCCCTCACTGGGGTATGGTTATGCCACAATCCCTTTTCCTCCATTCTTTTTTCCCATCAGAATTTTGGGCATGTATGCACTCACCCCACCGGGGCCAGGATTCTAACTGCAGTCAGCCATGTTGGATCTAGCTCCCTATGCACAGGGCTTAACTGCCGAGTTATGGGGCTGACCTGCAATATCTTATAATACAAGGGATTTCAAAAAGTTCATGGAAAATAGAATTAAAGTACAAGTTTATTTTGGTGCAAAAATTTTTTTGAAATCCATGTTTTATTTTTTGATTAAACTTATTTTCTATGAACTTTTTCAAGATCCCTCATATTATCAATTAATTGTTCTTTAAGACATGGTCCCAGGGACCAGCAGATGGCATAATGGCTATGTTGCTTGACACCCACATGGTCAACCGTGGTTCGAGTCCCAGACCTGGCAGCTTAAAACTCATGCCAGGCATGTGAGCGTGCATGCCCAAAATCCCAAGAGGAGAATGTGATGTGGCCATCCCTCCTAGAAAGTGATTTCTTATGTTCTGTCTCCCTATCTTTCTCTGCCTTTCCAGCAAGCACATGCACCCTATAGCAAAAATCTCTCTTAAAAAAAAAAAAAAGATATGGTTCCAATGTTGTATCTTTTTTGTAGACATCCATACATGGACAATTCAGGTGACCAAGCATTCAGTTCCACATATATTTACTGAATATCTACTATAAGCCATATGATGTGCCTGATAATGGAAAGAGAGAGTCTGAGACCTTTATAAACTCAAGCCAGTGAGGCCTTTGGAGAATTTTCTTGACTTCAAAACATATTTACCTAAAGCTTCATTTAATACATGACACTCTTCAGAATGGGACCTCTTAATTTTCTTCATTAGAACTATTATAGATTTTAAAGATGTGACAGGGGATGGAGAACTAGGGAATGAATGCTAATAGTATGGGGTTTCTTTATGGAATGATAAAAATGTTCTAAAATTAGACAGTTCTAAGTTATACAACTTTGCAAATAGGTTAAAAATTACTGAATTATATACTTCAAATAGGTGAATTGTATAAATTTCTAAGTTATATTTCAACAAAGCTATTATTTTTTTAAAAGTTGGTGGTAAACAAAGATCTCAAACCTATTTTGCTCAAATTATTTTTGGAAGTTACTGGGACACAAATTATCCATTCAGCAGATAATTACTGAGCACCTTTGATATGTCAGACATTGGTCCAAGTGCTAAGACATGTATAGAACTCACATCCAGGACAGTTGAGGGGGAGGCATATAGATATCTCAACAAGAGATTGTAGGCCCCATTATGGCACAGGCAGAAGGGCCTTTCTGCGTAGTGGCTGAAGCTACATGGAGCCTCAGGTTTAGTTCTCAGCCCAACCTAGACAGGCCAGGCGTGGTGGCACAAACCTGTGTCCCAGCTAAGTGGGATATGAGAGTTTGGGGGACTGTTCAGACCTTGTCCAAAATCTCTCTCTTATAAAATACAATTTCTTTACGTAAATGAATGGATGAATGAATAAGAGATTATGGTAGATGGTGATCAATCACTCAGATGTGTCATTTGTTTGCCTTGTTTGGCAATTTAGGATTTGGATAGGGACTTGGGCTCCCCAGAGTAGGCCTCTTCAAAATGAAACTTAGCTTTAACTTAATCTGAATAAGAACTTCTAGACATTTCTTTGAAAAAAGAAATGAATTCATTGTTGAATTACTGTATTTTAGAAGCTATCCTATAAAAGTACATGTTCGTTTCTTTGAATTGTGCATTAACTTTATCCTAATGCCCATCCTTATTTCTCTCTTTTAGTACTATCATCTGCATTATAATGGACTGTCATGGAGTAACACCAGCACATTTTCAGACGGCTCTCAAAAGCAAAGGACAATCCCTTCTGATTTTATGAACTTCTCACCAGACTGGGGGGAAAAAAAGCACTGGAACCAATTACTTAAACAAATTGGCAGTTAGTGTGTTTTTTTTTTAATCATCCATCACTACCCAAGGACTTGGGAACTAAAATGTTCCCTCAGTGTGATATGTTGATTTTCAGTATGCATATGGACTAAATCACATCAGTTTTTCTCAACCAGTAACCATGTAATTATGCAAATTATATCTTCCAAAATGTGGAGTGCTCCAACCAGGGGGGGAAAAACTGTCATTGGTTGTTGAGCTATAGGAAGAACTTAAATATATACTGTGTAAACAGTACCTTACATTTCTAAAATCCTAAATGTAGGAAAAAATATGCAGATATACAGATATATAGGCCAACTCTTAGTAATAATATGAAATATACTTACAGAGCTTTTAAAACTTTGTATTTTTGTACAAAATATTTGCCTTTTACAATTTTCTTTTTTTTTTTTTTTGGTCATTTTACCAATATAATACATGGAGCCAAAGAAAACAATAATGGTACTAATAAGAACTTATAGGGTTTCTTGTCAGATTTAATTCTACCCAGTGGCAAAAAATTTCTCAGTTGTGGTTTTTAAAAAGCAATTAAATATACTTGTGTGTATATATATATATATTTGATGGATCATTTCCTCTGAGGAGTCAATCATTTGAAATGTTTAGAAATTTCCTTGCAGATTTTGCCAGTGTAGATCAAGCCTGAGCACATACATGTCTCAGGTGGGCTGTGCCTTGAGCCCATTACTAACCAATACTCTTGATGTGTGCCTGGCTAGCCCAGAGGTAGGGGTCAACTCAGGATTTTGGTGGAGTCAGGGAGTGGAGAGACATCTGATGGGAAAGGTGGAAGACTTGAATCTGGCTGTCTGAGAAGTTCTGCTTTATGGCTGAGACATGAATATCCTTAATATCAGATCCATACCAGAGCTGATCTTAATTGTCAGGGCAGTATGGTGTCATATCAGCCAGAGGCAGAGATGCTAGAAAGACAGAAGCCAGCTTGTGCTACCCAGAAAATTTCTCTCTTTAAGTCAGGTTGTAGAAACATAACTCAGAGGCACATGCGTGATGAAATTCAAGAATAAGCTTTTGGCAGCCATGTTGAACTCGTAAGAACTTTTCCTTTAAAATCACCTTCCATCCACTCCCTGGCTTGCCATTGGAAAAGTCTAACATGTAAAGTGTTGATATTAGGCATGAAATGTAACTGACGCTCAAAGGTAAGATTTCCATCCAACAGATTCCCTCTCCTCCTTTCCCAAGTGTCTTCCCAGGCAGTGCTGCTACCTATTCCAAATAAAATGATAAAAGAATAAACACAGAATTTGACTTTTACACCTGCATTGTGTGGACCATGTTGCTTTGCCCAGGATCACCATTCATGCCATTTTTTGTAGTCCAGCTCCTCAGCACCTGTCCTGTCCATGTGGCCTGGCCAGGTGACAGGATGCTCTGCCACCTGAGTCTACATCACTAAGGCCTATGACACAAGGTAAGCCCCCAACTCCAACACCTCTTCAAGCTCAAAAACCTTTATAGGTTAAACTCAGTCCTCTTTTTTCCTACTTTGTTTTTCAAGTATACTGAGATTTGTCTCCAGAAGAAACTTGACATGAAATATCTGATTCCATCCTCAGGCTAGATTGGCCTGAGCCTGTATGGCCGAAGTTGTTTCTCTCCCAGACCTAACCATAATGTACAAGTGCTTCCTGTCTGTCAGGCACTCACCCAGCACTTCAACCCGACGGCCTCACAGAATCCTCCCAGCTGCTTTTATTACAGACCTGATTACACTTCCCACTTTACAGGGACTGGGGCTCAGGGTGGGTGACGTAATTTCCTGGGTCACACCATCACTGAGTAGTGCAACAGGGTTCAGATTCAAGTTCTGAAAATGTTCCCATTTTCTTTAGAATCCCAGCTCCTCCTTAATAACAGGCTGGATAAAATCAGCTGAATACCACATACTATAAGATATTTCTATGTATGCTTAGCTATTAGACACGAGGTTTCTATTTACCAACCCACAGCTGATGCTCTTGAAGAGAATTAGAGTGAAATATGAGGCCTTTAGGCATCTGACCTGCTACGTACTATAAGATGAAAAACATTTTTCTCTCTAAATGGCCCTTGAAAGAATGTACAAGGAATAAAATCCTTTTTTATGAGCAATATTCATCAATTCTCCCCTGCCCACACTTTCTATTTGTAGCAATTAGCATTTAAGGTAGAGCAGATGACAAACAGTAATAGATGCTCCCATAAAAAGGAAAAACTGTAACAGATGTTTAAAGAAGACAGCTATATAAGTCAGGTAACAATGCCAAGCATGTGTATTTTGCCACAGATGGCAAAACTAGTTTCTTCATAGAAAAGCAAGCATGTGAACTCATTCACGACTCTGAATCATATAATACTTCAAATGTATATACACAGGGTCTTCAAGAAGCTCATGGAAAGTGTGTACTATTTGTGGATTTCAATTTTCTTTTGCACCAAAATAAATTCAGACTTTTTTTTTTTCCTAGGGGGGGGAATAAAAGCGAGAAATCACCCCCCACGCTGCAATCCCCTCTCCTCCATTCTCTTCTCAGGGTCTTGGGCATGCACGCACACGAACCTGGCATGAGTTTAAGACACCGGGCCCAGGACTCAAACCATAGTCAACTACACAGGAGTCCAGCAACATAACCATTATGCCAACTTCTGGTCCTGAAATTCATACTTTTAATTGTTTTTCTACAAACTTTATAAAGTCTCCTCATATACCCTTTTACATACTTTACCTCTTCTAATCGTCATACAAACCTATTGTCTCTGCTTTAGAACTGAGGGAACTGAGGGTGAAGTTGAAAACTTGCCCTTTGCCCACATTCCTATCACGGTCACTTTTGAAAAAGAAAATCTGATGTAAGTACCCATGTGCATGCGCCCAGTGAGTTTTTCAAGCTGCCAGGACCAGGATTTGAATCATCCCATATGGGATTGGCTCCCATAACCACCAGGCCACAGGGCCAATCCCAAGGTTATCCATTCTTATGTTTCAAATCCAATTCCATCCTATGTTGTACCCTCAGCTTAAAATCTTCCAGAGGATTCCAGGTGCCTGCAGGACATATGTGCAGAAGTGTTAAGTCTAGGCCCTTAGCGCCTGGGTCCCAGCCCTGCCTCCAGCCGTCCTTCCAGCTGCAGCCCTGTCTCCCTAATGCATGCATTAGCGCAGCCATGCAAGGCTACCTGCACCTTCCCTCAAGCTCTTTCTTACCTCCATACTCTACACCTGGATTTTCCTGCTTTACTTTTTTTTTTTTTTTTACCGGAAAGTACTTCCTTTAAGATTGAGCTCAAACATGAGGTCTTGTCTAAATCCTTCCCCAACAAACTTACCTTGAAGATAGAACTGATTTTTTTAAATAGATAATGTGATTTTCCAGTACATGAATACAATGTATAATGGTTAAATCAGGATAATTAGTATACCTGTTACCTCATTTGTCATTACTTTGTGCTGGGAACATTTGAAACCCTCTTTTTTAGCTACTCTGAGATGTACAGTAAGGTGTTAACTAAATCCTCCCTACTGTGTGTATTACACTAGATGTTGTTCCTCTTATCTGTCTAGTTTATCTTATCTGTCCTTCTATCCCTTCCCACCCCCAATCCTTCCCAGCCTGGTAGAACTGATTCTTCCTTCCATGCCAGTGCATCAAGTGCTCTGAGTAATGCAGGAGAAAACTTCTTCACTGGGTTATCTGGCATTTAGCCTAAAAATGACTGAATTAAGAAAAGAGAAAGATGAAGTGGGTCTCATGACCCTGTGGTTTAGGAGTTATATCTCACATAACTGCATGGTTTGAATTCCAGTGCCAGTGGCTTGAAATACAAATCAGGTACATGTGTGTGTGTGTCCAAAATCCTGATGGTGTAGAGAAATAGAAATGCAGGAGAGAATGTGGTGTGACCACACCCTCTCCCTTTCTTGTCCGTCTCTCCCTTTGGTGAGCACACATGTTCTCTAGCAAATTTGAAAAAAAAAAGAAGAGAGAAAGTTGAATGTAGATGGATAGGCCGTTACAAAATATGTGTGTGTGTGTGTGTGTGTAAAAAAGTATTTTATTTCTTGTCCTCAGAAATTATAAAAACTATACATGATTTGCAAATGAGACTGTACCAAGCGATGGCCAACGAAGAAAAATCCATTCTAGACCTTCTCTTTGCACTCAGAAATATGTTACCAGCTATAATGGCTGTTGCTTCTCACCTCACATTATTTTTAATCTGTGTGTTCACCATAGTCTAGTTTCGCACATAAGTCCAGACCCCTTCTTTACATACTCTTATGCCACATCTCTGAGGCCTGGCCAGAATACTGATATTCTGTGCCACGTTGTCTTTTGACTGACATCACCCATTTGGACATCACTGTCCCCCAGTCACCACATCTCTCTTGTTGCCAAATAAAATATTGTGACTGGATTTTTTTTTCCTTCCGCCTGTCTCATGACAGGGTCCCAACTCTCTCGCCCAAGTAGCTGCACATGATTCAGAGATCTTTCAAGAATCAAACTGCTAGTAATTTCACATACATGTCTTACAAATTGATGAAGTTCCGGTAATACAGGTCTTTGAAACATGACTTCTGTCTTCTTTTCTTACACTTTAATCCTCAAGTCTTTCCTGACGCTCTTAATAGTTACAAATAGTTACAAAATCTTTTTTTTTTTTTTTTGAGAGAGAGAGAGATTTTTGCTATAGTGCACTATGCTCACTGGAGAGACAGAGACAGTAAGACAGAAAGCGAGAAATCACCCCCTGGCAGTGGGGGAAGGGGGTGTGATGGATGACCATGCCATAATCCCTTCTCCTCCATTCTCTTGAGATTTGGGGCATATATGCACATCCACCCAGCATGAGTTTTAAGCCGCCAGGTCCAGGACTCAAACCATAGTCGACTACATGGAAGTCCAGCAATGTAGGCAGTTACAAAATCTTGAAAGAACTAAGGAATGAGAGATGCCAAACAAGACAAAGGAAGGGATTCTTGTTATTTATAGTTAGAGAAATGAATGGAAGACTGAGTGAAAAGAGTAAGATGATAAACCAGATTCATTCGCTTTATGAAATTTGGTAGAGTCAGGGAAAGATGTTTCTAGGTGGCAGTGTGATCAAATACCTCACTCGTAACCATATACTCAACAGTTTTAGAAAGTATAGGAAAGGCCAGCCAGCGGCCTGGTGGTTCAGGAAGCTGGATCACACTTGGTTGACTGCACATTTTGAGTCCTGGACCCAGCAGCTTAAAATACAACAGGCACATGTATGTGTGCATGCTCCAAATCCCGGAAAAAGAAGAGGAGAATGGATTACGGGGTGACCATCCCTCATGAGGGGAGAGGTGCTTTCTTACTTTTTCTCTATCTTCCTCTGGTAAGCAAATGCCCTCTAGCAAATTTAAAAAAAAAATTAAATTAAAAGTACAGGTAAACTTTTCAGTCTAAGAAGTGGTTTTTCTGTATAACAATTGTGTTTTCTAGAAAGAATCCCTTAATGTCATGGCATCATGTTTATTTTCTAAATCACAAGATAGATGTTTACTACATGTTTCTCTATTCATCTATCCTTCTTCCTTTCCACCTACATACCTTTGTTCAAATAAGTATGTAGCATATCCAGGTTATGCCAGATGAGCAAAAGGCCAGAGGAAAGTAGGCTTACAAAATCATCTCTTCAGTCAGCGGGTGGCATAGTGGTTGAAATGGCTGGATCCCATGTGGCCAACTGTGTGGTTTGAATCCCAGATCTGGTAGCTTGAAAAACATGCCAGGCACATGTGCATGAATGTCCAAAATCCCAAAAGGAGAAATGAAGGCAAAGGGATTGCAGTGTAAGCATTCTCCATGGGGTGGTGCTTTCTCACTTTCCTTCTCTCTCTCTCTCTCTCTCTCTGTCTCTCTGTAGCAGATTTTTAAAATAAAAGAATGTAACATTTAGGGCAGGATCAATAAAATACAATGTTCTGGGGACCAGCAGTTAGCATAATGACTATGTCGCTGGACTCCCATGTAGTTGACCGCGATTCGAGTCCCGGACCCGGTGACTTAAACTCATGTTGGGCGAATGTGCGTGCGTGCCCAAGATCCCAAGAGGAGAATGGAGGAGAACGGATTGCGGCGTGGCCATCACCCCCAGGGGGTGAATTCTCACTTTCTGTCTTGCTGGTGAACACATGTGCTCTATAGCAAAAAAAACGTGCCCTATAGCAAAAACCTCTCCAAAAAAAAAAAAAAAATTACAATGTTCTGCAAGGCTGACCCACGTGGGAAAGTTTCAGGTTC